ACGAGGGCGCGATTCTCGAGTGTCGCGGGCGCGGCATCTGGATCCGCCGACACGAAAGGCTGCTCTGTCTCGGCAGTCGTCGTCGACGCTCCCCTCCCTTGGCGCTTTTCCGTTTGAGTCGTCGTCGTCGTCGTCGTCGTCGTCGTCGTCGTCGTCGTCGTCGTCGTCGTCGTCGTCGTCGTCGCGGTCGTCGTCGCGGTCGCCGCGGCCGCCGCCCCCGTTCCCTCCCTGTCCCTGGGCCCCCCTCCCTAAACGCTCCAGCCAAACCCGCGGGCGGTCGAGGGGGTTGTGACCCCCCCCCCCCCCGCGGAGGAAGGGCGCCACTCCCTGGGAGAAGCTTTCCCCTTCGATCCCTGGCCCCCAGACGCCTCGGGCTCGCTGCCTGCCACGGTCGGCTCCAGCAGACGGTCCCCGAGAGGCTGCCGAAGGCGCCCGAAGAGCTGCCCAGGGCGGCCCCGAAGCGGCCCAGGACGGCCTCGAGATCGCCCAAGGAGGCCCCCCCCCCCAGGACGGCCGAACGGGGCCCCAAGAGTGCCCCAAGAGGCTCCCGCGAGGGGGCCCCCACCCGCCGACATCGGGAGCCTGCCGCTCCAAGAAGCCCCCCCGGGAGGCCCCGAGCGGCGCCCACGAAGAAGCCCCCGAGAGGTCCGCAAGGGGCCCAAGAGAGCCCCCCAAGGTTTGAATGCTTCTCGTCGGCGCCGTCGCCGTCTCCGTCGGCGTCCCCCTTCAGGGTCGGCGGCACCGGCCGCAAGGCCTTCACAGTCATTTGCGTTCCTCCTCCTCCTCCTCCTCCTCCTCCTCCTCCTCCTCCTCCTCAGTCCGGGCATCCAGGGTGAAGGGGGGGCAACGCTGTTGAGGGAGCCCCCGTTCTCTGATGGATCGCCTCTCACATTTGGCCACAGGACGGTCCGGCAAGCCCTCAAGAGAGCCCCAAGAGGCCCCCCCCAAGAGGCCCCCCAGAGGCACCCAAGACGATCCATGAGCCCCCCTCAAATAACCAGAAACAGGCCCCCAGGGAGCCCCACGATGCCTTTATCAGGAGACACCCCAAGAGACCCAAGGAAGCATCCAAAGGGCATCTGGCCGACATGCTGCGCTCCCCCGTTCAGGACAGCTCCTCTGGGCATCGCGTCAGGATGCGCTGGTGATGATACGCGAGAGACTACAACGTCGGACGAATCATGAAAAACACGTCGTGCACAGTTGAATTCGGCAGCCCAAGAAGCCAACTGACAGAGACTTCAGCGCGACCGCGACGCGCGATCGCCTTCGTCTCTCAGTGGTGGGTCGCGCGATGCGCGAGGCTCGGTCTATCTCCGCTCCCCTGGAGCCCCAGCGGCGACCACACTCTCAATGCCACCGGCGCGGAGGACGGCGCCATGGCAACGGAGCCGTGTATGGGGGCGGACACCAGCGGCTCGGACACCGAGCTCGGAAGGACAGGCACAGTCCAACATGGATTGGTCGGAAAGACCCCAGGATACATTATTCCACAATGCGTTCGCCAAGTCCGCTCCTCCGGGGGGGCGCTAGGCACTTGCAGGACAAGCTGGGATAGCAGCGGATGCCGCCTTTTTTGCCAGACGGGTGTCGGACGAGCGCAAACAAATGTAAGGAGCATCGCGTGGGAGCAGCGCAAGCACCAAGCCTGGACGGGCGAGGACTTCGGGAGCGGCCAAGCGGGGGGTGTCCAAGAGGGGGGGGGTGCAAATCATGGCCGGCGGCATGTGCGCGGCCCAGCGGGGGGGCCAGGGACGAAATGAAACAAGAAGAGGCGCCACAAAATCTGGGGAGATTTCATGGCCCACGCCATGATATCCACCCCCTCCTAGTCATCACCCCCCTCTTTTCCGCCCCCGAGAACTGCAAGCGGATAAGCAACGCGATCAGCACCGGGGCTCCAAAAGGCCCCGCTTGGCAGCCCGAGAGGACTGCTCGAGCCCTCCGACTGACGGAGAGGCCCGTCCGAGTGTGGCCCTCCGGCTGACGAGTGGGCACGTCCGCGCTGCACTCAGCCGCCGCGGTGCCTTCAGCACGCTGTCGAGTGCCCCAAGGCTCATACAGTCGGGGCCTTGACCTAAGGAGCCCAGAATAAGGAACGAGGCCCCTTTTCTGCCATAAGTTAACCTTCGATTTCCCATCGAAAACATACATAAGGAAAACCTGAGGCAAGCTGCGAAACACTTAAGGAACGCGGAGCCCCTCCCCAACCAAAAGGGTTCCTTCTTCAGGGCCCCGACTGTAGTGTGGAGGCCAGTCCACAAGAGACCTTCTGCAAGAAGCCCAACCCTGAGACCCCAGGACGGTCATTGATTTTTTGGTGCGGGAGCGTCGCGCTTTCCACCACAAAAAACAATCGAAACCCAAGAAACCCAGAGCACCCTGGAGGCAGGCAGGATGTTTCTTAGCATGGGTCTCCACTGTACAACTGTGGGACTTCAAACGATTGATGTTTCTTGGGGGCGCGGACCACGCATTGCCTCGGCGCTCCTGGGGCGTGGCTGGTGGGTGCCCCAGGACGGTGAGCCCGCCCACAACAATCCCACGAATTCCCAAGAGCCTCCCGAGGAACCCCCAAGACGTTCCTAGAGAGCGCCGAGACGGCAAATGAGGGCCAAAAGACAGCCCACGATCGACTAGACGGTTTCAGAGGCCCACAATATGCTTCAAGACGACTCCAAAAAGGGGTCCCACGAGGCCAAAATCATCGATTCGCCAAAAAAAGTTGAAGAACCTTAGCGTTATCGCCACTTCAGGCTTCCGGCGCTTCAAGATGCTTCAAGAGGTCCCTAAGACGGCCCAAGGCGGCCCCAAGAGGGGCCCAAGCGAGGTCACATGAGCTCACATGTCGAGCCATCCGCAACAAAATGAAACCCGAGACCTTCAGCAGGATCCCAAGAGGCCCCCAGGAGGCCCCCAAGAGGCCCCAAAGAGGCTCCCAAGAGGCCCCCGAGAGGCCCTCACAAGGCCTTCAAGAAGCCTCAAGAGGCCCGCAAGAGCCCTCCAAGAGGCATATACAACCCAGGCACGGTGGCGGGAATTGCCGAAGGCCATTAAATCCGCCGCCCCCTGCTTGCAGGGGTGCACGGCGTGCTGGACGTTTCAGGTTTTGGTTTTGGTTCTTTTTCCAAAAGAACTCCCCAGTGGGCTCCGGCAGAACCCGCCGGCCACCCGGAAAATCCCCAAACGCACTCAACGACCGGAAAAAATCCTCCAAAAAACGGCCGTTTCGCTCGGGACATCCTCAAAAAATCGCGAAGATGGCCCAAGATGGCCTCCAAGTCCGCCCGAGATGGTCCAAGACGGCCTCCAAAACGGCCCAAGAGAGTCCAAGACGGCCCAAGACGGCCCAAGAGGCCCCCCAGAGGCCTCCCAGACGGCCCAAGAGGCCTCCAAGAGGTCCTCCAGGAGAGTCCGAAGAGGCCAAAATCATTGATTTTTCCTTGGTTTTTGAAGGATTCTGGCATTTGCGCCTTTTCGGCTCTCCGACGGCTCGAGACGGCCCAAGAAGCCCCCAAGATCGCCCAAGAGGCCCCCAAGAGAGCCCCATGATGGCCCAAGTGGCCTCCAAGATGGCCCCTAGAGGGCCCCAAGAGGGCCCAAGAGGCCTCCAACACGCCCAAGATGGCCTCCAAGACGCCCAAGATGGCCTCCAAGACGGCCCTGGAGCATTCCAAGCGGGCCCCAAGTCGGCCCATAGAGGCCCCCCAAACGGCTTCCGACGGCTTCAGACGTGCCAGGAACCCACCAAGATGGCCGAAGTTGGCTCGAAGCTGGCCCGAGACGGCCCAAAAAGCCCCAAAGATCGCCCAAAGCTTGCCCAAGAGGCCTCCAAGACGGCCAAGATGACCTTCAAGATGCCCACGTGTTCCCCGAAGGCTTTCCAAACCGATTCGGGGAACACGTGGTCCGATAGCTTGGCAGGTCTGGCCTCAACGTTCGGCCACATAGGCGCTTCCAAAAAGGCAGGGGGCGGCGGTGATTCGCCGTAGGCGTCTTCGATATTGTGATCTACCAGACGGCCCCATAAGCCCCAAAAATGCCCCAAGCGGGCTCCGAGAGGATCTCCAGGACGCCAACAGCATTGACTTCCCTCCGCTGTTTCAATGATGTCAGCGGTCTCGCCTGTTCGGGTCTCAGACGCTCCAGAACGGCCCCATGGGCCCCCAGGATCGCCCCGAGACTGCCCAAGAAGCCCGCAAGACCGTCCAGGATGGCCCAGAAATGGTCCTCCTCCTCCTCCTCCTCCTCCTCCTCCTCCTCCTCCTCCTCCAAGACGGCCGCAAGACGGCGGCCCCAGGGACCTCCAAGACAATCCTATAAAACGCCCAAAGATGGATCCATGACTGCCCGGTGAGCAACCCCGAGACGGGCCTCCGAAGGCCAAGAGGTCCCACAGAGGCCCGCAGAGGCCCACGAGAGGCCCCCAAGAGGCCTCCAAGAGGCCCCAGGGGACCCCCGAGAGGCGCTCGCAGGGAGCCTCCACGAAGGCCCCAAGAGGGCCTCAAGAGGCCTGCTCTTCCTCCTCCTCCTACTCCTCTTCTTCCTCCTCCTCCTCCTCCTCCTCCTCCTCCTCCGTTCTCTTTCTCTCCCTAGTGTTTCCCCAATTGGTTCCACAACGTCTGAGGGAGCACATAGTCCAATGGCTTGGCCAGAACTCCGCCCAACGTTTGGCCGCACGGGCGTTTCCAAAAGGAGGCGGGCGGCGGTGATTCCCCGCAGGCGCCTTCGATGAGATGATGTGCGGACGAATTCCTAGCATGAGATCATCTCTTCAAGCCGACCCCCGAGGCGTCAGACTATGTTCATGCACTCAAGCGTTGGGTCCAGACGCACTCCGAATTCGCAACGCTGATCTCCACCCAGCCATGGCACCGTTCCCACATCGGAGCGGCGCCGGTGCACGAATTCGACCGCGAAGGACCTGAGAAAAGCGGCATGTTGACTGCCCCTCGCCCCTAGCGAGAAAAAGAGAGAACAAATTCTCGGGGCGGACGAAGCTACCCAACGGCGGGGCCGCGACCAGCTGCATGCAGCAGATGTCGCATCTCCTCCTCCCTGTCCGCCCCGAGATACGTTCGCAAGCGGTTCCTGCCTCGCGGCGCGCTGCGACGTGGCTTCCTAAGTCCGCCGCCATGCCGTAGGCACTGAGTGGAATGCACGTTCCTGCGGGTTCTCTGTGCAGTGTGTTGTGGGCCCCCTTTGAGCGGCCCCGAGCACCAAGTTGCGGGCATTCTTGGGCTTGGCGAGTGGCCAGGGAGCGCCAGGGCGGCCCAAGAGAGCCCCAATACTGTCCAAGACGGACCCTAGACGGCCCAAAAGCGCTCGAAACGGTGCACGAGGGCTCAGGACGGTCCTTGAGGTCAGAGCTTCATGACACTTGTCGGCTCTTTCCAAAAGGTTCCCTGTAGGCTTTGGCCCAGCCAACCTGCAACCTGGAAATGATCCGAGAAGGTTTATCCCATTGGCTTGTCTGTCCAAGATGACCGCAATAATAGTTATCAAGAGGGACTCGGTCGCCATCAAGTCAGTCCAAGATGGCCCCAGTGGCCTCCAAGTGGGCTCAAGACGACTCGAAGGGGGCCCACTACTGCCTCCAGACAGTGCAAGACCCCAACACGCTCCAGGCAGGCTCCAAGGGGTCCCCCAGGACGGCGTCGAGAGGGCTCCCCCCTTCTTCTCTGCCTCAAGAGCGTCCAAGAAGGCCCAAGAGGCCTCCAAGGTCATCCCAAGACGGCCGCAACTGCCCCCGAGAGAGGGACCCGAGGGACGGCCTGCAGAA